TAAAATATTAATAAGAAAATTTGTCAAAAAATACTAATAAGAGAAGAACCAAAACGATAAAATAACATTAGATTATAACTTCGAGACGTTGCGGTTTCAAGAGGTCGACAAAACATCGAGTGTTTCACTCTTCAGCACAATGACATCTAAAGAAAATAATATCTTTCATATTATCAATATGATATGCTTAAACAATTATTGATATCTAAACACTAAGAAATATATATATATATATAGTTGCCACCAACAACACAACCATGCATATGCCTTGGCATTTCTCACCAACACACCACCTTAATTAATTAGGGTTTTATGCAGTGTTGGGTTTAAGCCCTAATAATTTCTCAATACACTGAGCCCAATAATGTTTTTGCTGTAGGTTTTTTTTTGGCCCAATAGGACATCTGAAAAATTATTTTGGGATTTACGACATTTTTTACACTGTAGAGCGAACTCGTCACTTTGAGGGGATGAGTTTTATGGGATATAATTTTTATTCTGGGCTCAATATTTTAATATTTCTTGTGGTGACTAGTTCTATTAAAAATTATTTTTTAGGATTTTTAATATAAATTTTGTTTTTTAAAAAAAATTGGAACTCGTCGAGTTCCATTTGGTGTAACAAGTTATCATTTTTGTATTAGGTAAACTACATGTTTAATATACAAACTGTCATTTTTGCTTTCTTTTGGTATCTAAATTTTTATTTATTTCAAAATTATATTTATCGTTACTTTTTATTTCATTTTGGTACCTTGCTGTTAAAAGTTTAGCAGAACAAGCATGACATTTTTATGGGTAAATTGTATCATTTATCACTTAATTATCTTCTCACTCTTGTTTTGGTCACTGAAATTTAATTTTTTTTATTTTGTGACATCATATTTTTATTATTAATTTATTACTATATAATTAAAATAAAAAATTAAATTTAATAACTTTCAAATTGCTCCTAATTTAATTACTCTAACTTTTAAATTTAATTTTAACAGCGATGTACCAAAATAAAATAAAAAGTAAATGTTAGATATAATTTTGAAACAAATAAAAATTTAGGTACCAAAAAAATAAAACTTATAGTTTATATATTAAACATGCGGTTTACCCAATATAAAAATTGATACACGTTTATATGGGTTGAAATGTGTTGGACATTTCAATCTAAAAAACAAAGCTAATTTTTAATACTCGTCACCTCAAGGTGAGTTCCGAACTTTTTTAAAAAAAATTAAATTTATATTAAAAATTTTAAAAATAATAATAATTTTTTAATAGAACTCGTCACTAAAATATTAAGCTCGAAATAAAAAAATTATATCTCATGGAACTCGTCACCTTCTCCCTGTATTGTAGAAACTGTTGTAGATCCCAAAATAATTTTTAAATGTGGCCAAATAATTATTTTGGGTGCCTATTGAGCCAAAAAAATCCTTCTTTTTTTTCTTTTCACTAATTAGCTAAACATTTGTCTGTGCCATGGAGCTTCAACAGCCCACATGAAGTGATATACAAGAGGACCAAAACATTGGATCTACTCGATATATAACTAGAGTTGGAATTCCGCATCGAATAAAATTCGAGTAATTTTTTCGAAACAAATTCAAATAACATACAAGTATCTAACCTTTGGGAATTTTACTTTCCACCATGCGTGTGCAGTGTTTTCACTGCTGGCCCTCATAGCTGATACTGCTAGCAAAGCAAAAGCGATGATGATCGAAATGGAATATAACGAAACCTGCAATAAGAGTCAGTGTGGTAACTTTTTTTCACTTTGAAAATCCTTTGTATTCATCGATAATCGTGTGATCAGCAAAAAAGCTTCTGATTCACTTAGGTAAATTAAGGTTACAAATAATGGGATATTAGATTTTACATGAGTAAGGTTTCTATATTATTGTATTGATGATGCTACTTGTTATATGTAATAAGCAGAAACTCGCTCAATTATAAAAAGGAAATGACTTTTTTTTATTACTATAACTGGTGATTTTCTATTCATTAACACTTTAAATCATGATTTTCTATATTCATTAACAAGAGTTCAGACTTGAAAGCATTTTAGCCTTTGAGGTGGTAGTCCACCAACTTTTATTTACTTTTTATATCGCACTCCTGAAATTAAAGTAATTAGGCTTTTTGTATTTTTGCATGACTCACTTCATCTTGACAATCTAAAACAAGAGATAACACCCCGCTAGGAAGACAAATAAACCAACACATAAGTGTTAGGTTTATTTAAAATAATACTACTAATATATTAGATTGATGATATATTAGTAAAATAGTATAAAAAGGATTTAATATTAATGATATATTAGTAAAATAGTATAAAAAGGATTTAATATTAATGATATATAATTCGTGTACTTTTTTTATTTATAGTCCATATGATATCTCTTCACAAGCGTTTCCACATCAGATTCTATGCACCATGATTGGCTTTGACTACTTTTTCATCTCAACAAGATCTCTCACCTTTGACTCTTGTGTGTTCAATTGCTTCTCTTTTTCACTAAGGTGTCCAAATTCAAAGGGACCCTTTCCCTTCTTACAACGAGAATTTATACGACAACTATGGAATCTTACTGCAGAGCTTGTTGGTAAAAAAAATCATGGTATTGTTTCAACATTCTTAGTTGATTTTGAGATAGGACAAGATCGAATTTCAAACACGTTTTAAGATTTGTCTCTTTTGTGACAAACAATTAGCAGGGCATTAGTTGTTTCATTGGTCCTCATTAACAATCATACATGAAATGTTTTCAAACAATAAGAGCAAACAGGTTGTTAAACATTAAGACATGATTGAGAAATCAAGGAGCGTCGCTATTTGAGATACTATAAGAAAATTAAGGTGAAGAATTTCACTATAATCGACGGTTAATTACAATTTCTTTTTATGAGAGTACATCAAATCTTATACTCTGAATACACATATATGGTTACGTACAAATCCAATAATATGAGAGCCTCCACATCCATTATAGATTCTCGTTTTTATCTAATCTATTTCTTCGTCAATCGAATTGCATCAAACTTTTTTAATTATACCATATGAACTATATAGATTGAAATAATCTGTAGCCGGAGTTGAAGCATGTTTTTGAGATAAGGAAAGTGGTAGGACAGGTTAAATGGGGGGGAGGCAAAAGGTTTCAAAGTATTAATGGTGGTAAACTCACTAACATGCAATGATTTTAATATTTCACCTTTGCTGAATCAGAAGTAAAACACATAATGAGATTAAAACAACTTTAACTTATGTTTGCGGGGAACAAAATATATTCTCAAACAGGTGAACATCATGATAGAAACCAGACACCAAAAACTAAAATACAATAATTGACATTACTGCTTCACATACGTCATACTTGTGTGTATAGATATAATTGAGGTTAATTACACTAAATTTTATCTGGAAAGCCAGGAAAGTTATATTGTGGGATGAGATATAATTATAAAATTTTAGGGTCAAATCTTAACTTTTCGCCTTAACAAGACTTGAAATTAAATTATTAGTATTTTTTAGGTTTCAAAATTGTAATTTTTCCGGAGTTAAAAGGGCTTAACTTCATAATTTAAACTTGGAGGGACTAAAGGCATAATTTTACCACTTAACTGGGGGCAGGCTTCTGCTAGATTCGCCATTAGTCGCATCCATCATAGGTGCATGGTTTTCAGAATCGGACCGGTTAACGAACCGGTCATGCTATCGGTTTACTGATTCAACCGGTCGGAAGAACCGGACGACGTCATAATTATTTAAAAATTAAATAAAAATACCAAAAATATTTAATAAAAAATAATTTTTTATATAACAAGTCATATTCAAAGCAAGTCATAACATATATAAGTTAAAAACCATAAATCAAGTGAAAAAAATATTCAAATTAATTACAATATAATATTTAAGGTAAAACATATTAAATAATAAATATAATTATATAACTATAATTAAAAAATAAATTTTGGGTTAAAAAATCATAACAAAATGATATTGTTTGGTTTAATTTTTTTTTAAAAACAATCCCACATGGCTAAGAAACATAGAAGAGCATCCCAAAAGTCTAAAGAGTAAAAATATGAGAACAAAACAATCTCACATTGCTAAGAAACATAGAAGTGCATCACAACTAACTTCTATAAATAATAGAGGTAATTTGGCATTCAAAATCATGGAGCCTTTTGGTGAGCATTGAGTGAACTATTCTTTCACTTCAATCAAGCTCGAATTTTAGGCTTCAATCGAGCTTCTAAATTTTTTTTGAGTTCAAGCCTTTTTGAGTTCAAGTTTCAATATTATATTTCGAGTTTGAGTTGAACTTGATAATTTTTAGCTTGTGAGTTTGTGTTGAGTTGAGCTTACTTTTAAAGTTTTCAAGTTCGAGTCGAGCTTAGCAATACTCGAGTTCGACTTGGCTCGTTTAACAAACGACGTTGTTTGGTTTAATTTTTTTTTAAGAAAACAAAAATCCCGGTTTTCCCGTTTTCAGCTGATCCGGTTCGAACGGTTTAGCGGTTCTGGTCGGTTCACTAATAGCGGTTCAACCGGTTTAGATTGAACTGGACTAAGCAACGGTTCCCGATTAAACCGGCCGGTCCGGTCCGATTTTCAAAACAGAGCATAGGTGAAAGATTTTAAACATATATTTAAATATTTAAGAAACACTCTTTTAATAATATTAATTATTTAAAAAGTAATTTTTTTTTATAATTTCTTAATTGAATTGGTGTCCGGAAAAGATAAGAAATTAATTTTCCCACAATTTGCATAGAGGATATATATCTAAAGAAGTAAGCTAGAAGTAAAACACTTACAAGCAGAGACTATTCCTATTCAGTTGAAGGGAGTCATGGTAAAATGAAAGCTGAATCAATTGAAAGGAAAAATGGGTAATCTTTCTAGTAATGGGTAAAGAAATTCAATGTCCTTTTAATAAGATTTCAAGTTTAAACATTGCCAATGATAAAATAACTTTAAAAGTATTATTGTAGGGTCTATTTCGGCTCGAGTTTGAATGCAATGGAGGCCTATATTATTTACTGTAGTCACTGAAGAATCTACTACCAAAAAGAAAAGGTAAGATGCGTATTCTAATATAGGTAGGTAAGGTTAAATTAGCAAATGAGTGGCATTAGCCTGTATTTGCTTTAACAGTTGGTAATAGAGTTCTCAAGCCTCAGCTTGACGTTTCCGATGAATATCGGGAAAAAGAGAGAAATTTAGGGAAGTACGTTTAATGGACTAGACATTGCAAAGTTCAGTGGAGCCATAGTGAAGTAGTTCTTCAATCATTTGTTCAATGTGATTCTCTTCAAGTGGTTTGAAGTTGAAGTGCTGGTGCTGGGTGGTTTCAAGTTGAGGTTTCTTGACAACCCAAGCGGCCTCTGTCTCTCTCTTCTCCTGCTGCACTCCAACTCCCATTCCACTCTCTCTCCCTGCAATGCCATTGTTGCCCATAACCTGTGGAGTCTGTGCATTATTTCGCGGCTCCTGCGCCGTTTGTTGTTTGATCATTTGAAGTGAAGCCAGGTAACATTTGTGTAGCTTAGCTCTCAAAGTTGCAGACAGAAGCTTGGATGATGATGATGATGGTTGAGGATCAGTGGGGTTGTACGGAAAGTTGGGTTTAGCCCTCACTCCACTCATAAGCCTAGCTGCTTCGTCGTAGGCCCGAGCCGCGTCTTCCGCCGTCTCGAATGTCCCCAGCCAAATTCTAGTTTTCCTGCACACACACACAAACGCAGTACTCATAAAGGAACTGCAAGTGCGAAAGGTTTTTGAAACATAGTCCAACTTACAATAGAGGATGGCGAATTTCAGACACCCAAGAACCCCAACGCCTTTGTCGAACACCTCGATACCGTTGCTGTGCTCTGGCCATGTTAGTAGACAAAGAAAAGTTTGTTTTGAGAAAAATGTGTTTCTGGAGATGTCTCAATGGGAGTGATGCTATAAGGGGGGGGGGGTTGTAGTTGACAGACATATATGGCAATTTACTGGCATCCAACTTGAAAATATTGCTGGGTCCCATAAAGGGTTTTAAGGGCTTCTTATTTTTTGTTTTGATTTAATTAACTATCGATATTTGATAATCGAAACGAGTAAAACTCCTAAATAAAGGTAAATTCTTTTAAAACTGTAAAACTCTGATCCACTTGATCTATCATAAGTTGCGTTGATACCCTTCTTTCCCCATGTGAATCTAAAAGGTCACAGTCCAATAGATTGTTCATGTGAATGGTCTTCAGCTTAGATGACTTTAGCAATATTACAAGTTGCTCCATTTAAAAAAAACAAACAGAGGATAGAAAACCCTAAAATGTTGTATTGAACCATAAAAATCTTTGAACATATCCCAAAATCAATTACTATATTAAACAATTTGGTAATGTAGATTTTGTTCGAGTATGGTTGTTGGAACCAGTTGATGGCGTCACGTGGAAGTTTGAACATATTATTTCATGCAACTACCAGCAAAGCAAACTGTTGTTGCACTCAATGAAATATTTTTGTGCATCAATTTGCACTTGAATGATTGAGTCAATCCTATGTTGTTGAATTCATGGGGAAAAAAAGAATCTTGGACCGTCATGATTTCTATATATATTCAACAAATGATTTGATCAAATTGTTAGTAGTTAATTGTAATGTTGAGAGCTGTAGGTTTTTTTTTTATTTTCCAAACAATAATTATTTTTTTTAAATGAATGATAATCTTTAATTTTGTAAGAAAGACATGAAGAACGTAAAAGAAAAGAAGTCTCAACCGATGATTCATGTTTGATGTTGTTATAACTAAATAGTTTGTCATTGTGAAAGCATGCTAAAATAACATTAACAAGCCAAGTGAAAGAAGGCGGTATTTCTGGAGTGGCTTCTTTCTCAGCTGCTATTTCTGACTCTTTTTACTTGTTCGAGAAACCAATCCACACGACAGATAAAGACAGACAATGTTCACGACAATGGCTCTTTTAGGTTTATTTTCTGTCCATTCATTTGTTGGGTACTCATTCCTGACTCGACCCGTTCATTATTTTATGCTTTTGGAAATTAACTGCAAGATGAAGGCGACTTAAATTGAAAACGACCTGTAATTTTTTTATATAGGACAATGGAATGATGAGGTTTTAGATTGAAGACGAGACCGATGGACGCGGTTCCTTTCAATGTCTATTTACATTACACCAAAGGCTTTAAATATTGGCTTCACATGGAAGCACAGTGGCGGTGAATCATTTCAAATGAGTGTTGGGGTACATAACGTAAGACATGAATATCTCCATCTGCTGCAAAACCATTATTATTGTTTCTGGCAGGCTGCCTCTTAGCTTGCATACACACACAATTGATCAACACAGCTTTTCGGATTTGTTTTGAACACAAATAATCAATGTATAATGGTAAGCAGTTTTGGATTTTCCGTTGGTCAAGGACAAGGGCAAGCTGTGAAACAGAGGGACTTTTTGTCTTTTAATTTATCAGCCGACGCGGTTTCATGAGTTAGCACGAAAGGAATTTTCGGTAAGCTGATGGTGATAGAATAGAATGTTTGAAGCAGGCGCCTTGGTCTAAGGGATTTTGCTCGGCATCAAGCTTGCCAAACACCCAACTTTCTATCACTTATTTAACATGACAATATAATTACTACTACTTACATTTTCAGATTCATGTGTTGAAGATTTCTGTGATTGAGCTCACAATTTTTGTGACAAAAGATTTGTTTGATACGATATAAATAACAAGTCATTAATCAAGCAACGTCAATGATTGAAGGAATGATTGTTATCCTTAAATGTTCCAGGGTCGAGCACTAGTGATTGCAGGGTATTTAAGAGTTTTAATCAAATGATCAAGAGTCTTTCGAACAGTTACTGCCACTTGTAGTCACCCTAGATTAATCGGAAAAGAAATGTAAATAAAAAAACGATGAAAAATTTATTAATCAAAAGGTCAAGAGTAATCATCACTTTTTAACTCTGGAATTTAACCATTATGTTAAAAAAAATACTCTCACTCATTTTCATCTTTTCATCTTTCCTAATAGAAACAATGAAGAATTGTGTGCTTTTGATGTAACATCCTGAATCCCAAGTTAGTAGTTCAGGTAAATCGAAGCCTAAAGTTGAGCCCAATTGAATCTTATAAGATAGTTGGACCCGGTTTAGTGTTTTTGGGCTTGAGTATGGGCCTAAGAGTTAGATGGTAAAAGATGAATGTCTTATGAAATAAAAAATAGAGGGACTAAAAGTGCAATTTACCTAATTTTTATTTCAAAAGTTGAAAACTCCCCTATTTTGTGTGGTTTACGTGAACAACTCCCCATTTCCCACCAAACAATCATCTTCTTCTTCATCCATCTTTTCTCATTTCTTCTCCCATCTTCAAGTTGAAGGATTTAGGACTTCAAGTTTAGTTTGGGTCAAGCAAAGGTAAGATTTTTAACCCTCACCCTTCAAGCTTCATTTTAAGCTCCATTCACTAGTTTTATCCATAGAAAAAATGGGTTTTGAGAGGTTTGTGAGAATCTATGGATTCTAGCTATGTTTTGGTTATAAGGAGTTATTTAGAATGTATCCAACCTCTAGATGAATTAGTGATCCATTTTCTTATCTTGTTTAGTGAAGGAAGTGGGAGAGAGTTCCAAATCAAAAGGTAAAGAAAAGTTGAGCATTGGTTAAGTTGAGGAGAGTTCTAGGCACCAAAGGAGCAAGGTAACACCTTTACAACTCTTCTATACTCTTAGTAAGTCATTAGAAGTTCAAAATAGTTTAAATGTTTGAGTTGAGCATGACAAACATTTTCATGGTGAAATTCTTGTTTTAGAGTTATAAATGTGTTTGAGGAGAGTTCTAAGCATGTTTGAGGACCTCACTAAGGTCTTTGGGATTGAAATATAGCATTTTAGTATGTGTTTTATGACTTCTGCAGGTAGAGTGTCGATACTATTGGGATAGTATCGATACTTGTTCTTCATTTTGGGCAAATTCGTGAGTTTCTAGGCAAAAGTATCAATACTCTTTCAAGAGTATCAAAACTTTGAGTCAAAGTTTTGAAATTTTCATAAATTTTTGAAATTGGGCATAACAAAATATTTAAAAGTATCGGTACTTATATAAAGTATCAAAACTTTTGCAAGAGTATCGATACTCTTGGGATAGTATCGATACTTTTAATCTATTTTGGGTAAAAATGTCAGTTTTTAAGGGAATTAGACCGACGTACCCCAACACTTCATTTTATCATCAAATAAGACTACAAGTGAGAATATTAATGATAATATTACACTTAGAAACAAGGTCAATTAGGATGACATAAAAATAGCCTTCGATGAGGCTCGGGAAACGATCAAGACACCCGAATTCCTTTAGAAAATGCTTGCATTATTGAAAGTACAGATTAAGTCTGGATATATCCTTAAGTAGTTGGTGAGGCAAACTAGCTTGGGTGCAAGGTCCGACACTCAATGAGTGGGCTAGTTTAGGGGATTAACCGATGGATAGATTCCGGGAAACCAGCTACGGTAGACTAAAGGTATGTGTGAGCTCTGAGATGCAGAACCCTCAGTCGCACCATGATGTCTACCATATAGTAGAGAGTGCAGTATACGAGTATGCCCACTATTTCAGTTTATCAGTTATCATGAACATGTCATGAACACTTTTAGTATGGCTTAGTGGTCAGTGTGGCACTAGGCTAGTGAGCTCATTGTTTGGAATTTGTTTCCTTACGCAGGTTAGACGAGGAGCAGTCCGAGGACTTTTTGGGCTAGCAGTGATCCAAACCCAGTTAGTGCAGAGTACGTCTCATGTCATCTTTATAGAGGGCATGTATACCTGTGAACCCTTTGTATATTTTTGTATGGGTCATTTTTAAGCAATGGTAGGTATGATTTGAAATAGTATTTTTAGGACTCCTTATGTAAACCATTTTATTTAAATTATGGTCGATTTATTTTAGTGTGATTGTTTACAATTTTCGTTTTTTATGGAGAAATTAAGAAAAAAATTGGTTAGCTACTCCAGTGGTTCCGTGTGACATTTTGGTCGATCGATTGTGTGTTGTTCTGGTCTAGGGTGTTACATTTAGTGGTATCAAAGAGTCAGGTTTAGATATTTCTAGGACTTGCAGGTTAGAGTAAGTAAAAGTTTATGAGTATACATGTCTTTAGAGATGTAAAGAGTACTTTTGCTTTTGAAATAGTGATAGTTACTCTTCTTATTGTTAAATTTTCAGAGTTAGATATGGATGAGAGCCCAAGTCATAGTAAGGAGGGTAGGGACGAGAGTAGAGCATCCCTTACGGGTGATATACGTGATGATTTCATTCTCGAGATAGATTTTGAGAAGTCTGGGGATGCGGGAGTTGAGAAGACAACTTTCTTTAGAGAGATGATTGTTACCCTAAGGTGCATAGCTAGAGCCTTACCGAGGACACCACTAGCCCCACCTACTCAGCTAGCCCTACCAGGCCCATATTCCGTAGCTCTACAAGAAATCCCTGTTGAGAGGCTTGGAGGTATCAAACCACATAATTTTTTGGATCAGAAGATGACGACCCAGTAGTGCTGATCAGTGGTTGAATGGAGACTCAGAGAACCCTTCGTCAGCTACACCTCTCTCCCGAGGGTATGCTATAGTATGTCACCTCCTTCCGGAAGGGTGATGCAATTTACTAGTTGAATACAGTCTAGATGTCTATGGAGCCAGAGCGGCCTACTTGGGATTAGTTTTTGGAAGAGTTTTTCCAAAAGGATATAGGTGAGGCTCATATAGATAATCTGAGGGATCAATTTTTGCAATTAAAGCATAAAGATCGTTCTGTGTTTGAGTATGAGGTGGTGTTCCTTCGACTCATTCCATACACACCAGAGTAGTATCATCGGAACATTTCCATTGTATAAGGTTCAAGGAGGGCCTTCACCATGATATCCTCACCCAT